TTGGCTGCCTAAATCTGAGATAGTCACTGTGGAGCTGGATAAAAATCTGGGAAAGTGGGTATCAAGTTGTTTGTTGATTGATAAAGAGCCAAAATAAGCCAAAGCAGTGATGAGATTGTTGTTATCTTATCTTCTAACCCTGTTTAAAAAGTCTCATCCTTCTACAACTTCTTTTTTTAAAGCCCCCAAAAATTAATGGACTCAGACCCATCTCTGATGATGTTCTCCCTGTCTGCACTGAAAACATGCTCTGCTTTAATTATCAGAGAAAAGAAATTGGAGTAATGTGTTGTTTGGCTGTAGCCAAACCCTCTGAGCTGTAGTCGCATGATAGCACCTGCCCTCTAGTCAAATAGTCTAGGCTTTCCTGGTCAATGGAGAGAGCAGAAAAGAGATGTGCCTCCGAGCATCTCCACTTCCGTAGGCATCTTCTCCACGGCTGAGATGATTTGTCTTCTGATGGCCGTAGCTGGCTACTAAATGTAATGCTCCACCAGCCCACGTGCTGCTTGTGAAACAAGCTCCCCAGTAGCCGACGATGTTGTGGCAAGAGGGGCAAGGTGGAACAAGGCTGGACTTCCCTGGGATGCGCACAGCGTGACACTGCGGGGCTGGATGTGCCTGCTGTCCCCTGGAGGACATTGAATGTGTTCTGCTGGGAACAAAGGCAGAGACGGACAGACAGATGCATGGATTTGGGGTCTTGTGGTGGGAGATGGGGTTACCTGTGCTGGGGGGGAGGGAATGCTGTGTGGGCACATGAGCTGGTCCAGCATCACCTGGCTGCTGCCAGCTGCCCCGTACTGACCATGACTGGAGGTACTTGGGACCGTCCTCACACCACAAACATGTCACTTGGCTCTGGCACGAACGGACTAGAACAAAGTGTTGTTGTGTCTTCTGCAGCTCAAAGCTTTTGCTCAAGCAAAGGAAGCCGCTGGGTACAGCCAGGAGGAGCTGGAGGAGACCTTTGCATTTCTCCTGTTTGACAATGAAGAAGAGGTAACATGAAATGTTTATTCAGCTTAAGAGGTTTGATGCCAAGTGCCTGCACGCGTGCTCCGTCCCACCAAAGCCCAGCAGATCTGTTGACTAAAGTGTCCTGCCTCTCTGTACCCCAGTTACCAGTGCAATCACTACTGTATAAATAGTCCAGAGCAAGTTTGGAAAGCAGCTCCTGGTTTTAGTGATGGATCTTATTTTGCATCTCTCCAGTCAATTACTGTTTGAGGTTTGGCTGCCTCCTTTGCCCTCTGCAGGGAGATAGGAGGAGTCTTCCTTTGTCCCAGTGGATTTCATGTACGCTTAGAAGAGAAAAGTGCCTTTGTGACAGAAGACAGGAGTTTGTCAGGTGGTTTTGGGGAAGTTCCCTTGGTTTGGCCAACTAGGTGGAGAGAGAGCCTGACACAGCTATTGGGAAAGTTATTCCTTCCCATTTTTCACAAGGATGCTTTTGATTTTGTGAAAAGAATTTGTCTACACAAAAATGCTCAGGGAATCTAGTGGGAATTCACTTGTAACGTGATTTAATGATGCCATACTAAATCACTGTAGAGATGGTTTTGTTCAGGATGAGAATGGCCTGAACGCAGTTTAGTTCTGTTCAGTTTGGACTGAGCTACAGCAAAATGAACCACTTTCAGTCTCAGTTTGGAAGCGGGAATTGTCCCACTTCATTTTAGCTGTTTGAAATTTAGCACAGTCTGTGCCAAGTGACTGAGCTCCTTGTACAGTCCCTAGGAAAGAGGGAGCTCTCCAGAGGACAGCTGAACCTCTTTTAATGCAGGTATCCAAAATTCTCAGGCTAAGTCGCTCTCTGGAGGTGCCTACCTCTCCGTTATTCAGAGAAGAAGTCTAGCTGGCTAGTCTAAGCTAGACACTTGCCTTTTAGGAGGCAGAAGTTAGGCGAGATGCGTGCCCAGTGTTGCTTATAAAGGGGCTGAGTACAGTTTGACTGGTTTGCTTTTATTTCTCACCCATAATGAGTTCCAACTGGTCCTGTTGTCACTCTTCAGTCAATATACATTTGGTCTTTGCGCACTTTGATGAATCTGCTTTGGACGTGGATTAAATCAAAGCCGGTGAGATACTCCCAAGGCAGTAATTATGCCTATGCAGGAGTGAGCACAGAGTAGGAAACGTCCTTTGCGCCAGCCCCATTGTGTTTATTTTTCCACAAATTGCCCATGCAATTAAAGAAAGTGCAAAGTTCAGCCTTGCACTTGCAGTAGTTTCTGGACATGCTAGATTTCTTCCAGATCTTTCTAAGCTTTTGCTTCCACGGAGGTTTTTGTAACAGCACTTGATAAATACAACTATTCAGTGTCTGAAACAACAAATTTTCTTCCTGTTGGTCCTTCCTGTGGACATTGTGGTTAGGTTACTTTATACTGTGGGTGTTTTGGGACTCTTAACGATCTATAGTTGACTTGCAGCACAAGTTTGCCTTTTGCAAGTATTTCGCCACCTGTCGTGCTACAGGTTTCAGTAGCTGTGTCCCTTATCTTTGAAAATAGATGGTAAAAGAGGTTGTCTCTTCTTTTGAAGGCGAAAGAGGTGTGTCAGACAGGCCTCCGTGTAAACAGCAGTTCTATTTCCACGCTTGGTGACCCAGCAAAAGGTAAGATTTCCAATCAGAGGACCAAGAGACCTGTTCGCTGTTCAGAGGATATCAACTCCTTTAAAAACAAAAGCTAAAGCCCAGACAAACTCCTGGTACTGTGTTGTTATTTACTGCAAAAATCCATGGAAATTCCCATGTTTCTTACGTGGGAAACTGCATTTGTTTGGATCAAGCAAGCAGCAGTGTTTTCCTTCTGCCCCCTCATCCAAATGAGGATGGGATCTTCCCCAAGGAATGTTACCATCTCTTCCCCTCTCCATTTCAGGCTTTTTCTCCCTTGTTAACAACACCCTTTGTCACCAAAGTGGCTTTTTGGCAGCTCTCCCCACCGGTTTGCTCTTCAGAGTCCATTTGCTGAGCTTTTGCCAACAGTCCTGTTAATAACCAGAGCAGACTGTGACATGTCAAAGCACTTTGCAGTACGTGCTTGTTCCTTGCCCAAAGGTCTGGGGCCTCAAGATGTGCAGTGCAGGGCACATTACTCAAAGAAATCCTACTGCCAGAAGCAGAACATCTCCCAGTGCTCATCCAGCAAGTCTTTGCAGGCCAAGACAGCTAATTATTGAGAAGTTAATGGCAGTGAATGCAAAACCAAGCAAGAACTGGTTATTTTTCTGGGTGTATATCTTAGTCCTGTTGGAATGAGATGAATATTATGGTGTATCTCTTTATAGCCCTTCCCCTGCCCAGTCCCAGTTTCCCCACCATGTACTTCTCTACCCATCTTGCCTACAAATATAAAGCAGGAGTGAAGAGCCAACACCCCTCCACGCCCAGTAAGTCCACAAGGCCTTGTCGTAGGGTAGAAGGTTCATGTTGGCATCTGGGATGCTGAAGGGCCATAAAAAGCTGAGGAAGGGACCTGGGAGGGTCTGTGCCGTGCCATGGGCCTGCTCTCCTGCCCTTGCAGTGTGTGTTCCCCACACATAAACATCCACGTTGCCTTTGTGGGACTCCAAATTGAGCAAAGTACCTGCCCCACTTGCAATCTGACCTGCAAGCCCTTCACCAGATCTCCCTGTAAGAGACAAGCCCTCGCTCGGTATGTTTTCACGTAGTGTGGGCAAAACTAACGTTAGTTGGGCTACTTCTCCCTGGAGAAACCCAAGTTAACTCATTTCTTAGAGCTGACCCTGAAACATATAATGCTGTTTCATACCAGCAGTCAAAAAAAGGAAAAGAGTCAGAAAGAGTTTCACCTGTTTTACGGCAGCAAGTGCTACTCTGGTTTACAGCACTGGCTCTGCAGAGACTCCTGTTTCCGCAAGGAAGGTCCTCTTTACAGGGCTTTTTTGGCAGTCAGCTTTACTCGAGAGATGATTCACGTTATCTTGCATTGCTTTGTCTTCACAGGGGTTTATATTTCCAAGTATGCAGACTGTCTTCATCCGAGACCCTGGTATCATGGAAAATCAGGCTATATTGTCATCTGTAAGCTCATTAAGGTAAAATGCAAGTCTTTCTTTCTATGTGGAATGGTTTTCAGAAGCCACTATACAGTGCAAGCAGTGTTTTTAAGGAGACATTGGTGCCCGTAACTGTGGTGGGGTGTAGAATCAGCTCTGTTGAGAGCTCGTCAGGATTTTTGACTATGGGATGTGTCAGGCTAGAAAGCAAGAGATCCAACTGGGCTTGACTGGTGGCCTGCAGGACAGCAGAGGATGCAGAGAACTTTCCAAAGTCCACTGCTGAGATCAGAAATTCTTCATAGGGTCACCTTTTTCCCTGGACTCTCGTGCATTTTGGGAATTCGAGGGGGAGCCCTAAGGTGGCTCAGATCACAGCCCCATTCTATTCCTCCATGGGGCTGGCGCATGGCCCCGTTCTCCCCTCCCCACTGGCTCCTGCTCTCTGGTAACAAAACCACGCTGCTCCCGTTTCCTCTCCTGAGCAGTGCAGGTTTCTCTGCCATGCCAAACTCAGCCAAGTTGGACCCTCATGTTTGGAAGGACACAAACACACACAACCACCTCACAGTGGTGGGGATTGTGGGGCTGCCAGCAACACTGTCTTTGGGGAAGAGGAGGATTCAGAGGTCTTTTAAAATAAGTTTCTGCAAACAATTATGTGTATTTATGTATTTTTTTGGTAAATTTTCTGGCACAGGGGAAGGTCAAGGTGGTATCTGAGAATTACACAACCAGCTATACCTGCCCATCTCCCGGCTATGACTGCCATGTCGCTGTGAGCAGAAACAACGTACCATCAAAGACCAGCCACTGCCAGGCCTTCGAGCAGAGCCAGGTATAGCTTTGCAGACAGCTCACTTGCAGGCTGCAGGGGAACTAACAAAGGGCTGGCCCAGGTGCTGGCTCATTCCTCACCTTGATTTTTCATTGTTTCCCTTCTCACCCCAGTATTACGTGTATGAAGTGTCCAATGGTGGCACTGCCGAGCGGCCCAGGCAGATCTGCCCGTACATAGTCATCGCCTGCCAGTACAGGGAGCCGAAGGAAATGCCCGTCTTAGCTATAGAGAGCCTGTAAGCAACTTGCTGTTGTTCCAAAATACCTGGTTGCTTTTGTGGGCTGTTTTTCCTTTTCCCATTGCTAAATATGCCTCTTTTTCTCCCTTTTCTCTAGACCTGAGCTTAATCACAAAGGTAGGAGCATCTGATAGTTGTTTTTGTTTATTAAATGTACCTTTCTCTGTTTGCCCTCGTCTTCTCTCCTGCTTTCTCTGAACCATTCTCCCTTTTGCCTGTAGCATTGTACTGTTCGTGGAGGGGGCAGCTCTCCATCCGGGGCCAGCTTTTGTGCAACATCACCCTGAGGACCCCATACAGCTCCGCGATTCCAGCCCAACTGTAAGTTACCCCTTTTTCTTTTTTCTGTGTAATTTGGGGAGTGTGAAGCATTACACCTTTGAGTGTCTGTGTTCCAGCAAAAGGCAGTTTTGTCTTTCCTGCCTCATCCTTTCATTGATCAGCATCTTCTTGCAGCTGAACCAGCTTACCACCTGCATTGTTAGGAAAATCATCAGTGTCAGGAAAGTGGTGTTGGGCAGCCAGCGGTGCAGTGTCACAGCAACAGCTGGATGAGGACGTCCAGCAGCTAGAAACAGCTGTATTTTGTCCTCTCTTTTTGTTAACTCTTTTGGGATGTTTATTCCAAATCAATTATTCCTGCTTGGGATTTTTCTCCTTGTGAGAATTGAGCTTCCTGATGGCGCATGTACAATCGGCCAGTTGTGTTTACAGATTGGCACGAAGGCAAATACAGTATTGAGGTAACTGGCATTCAAAAAAAAAAGAGACACTTAAAATCTTCAATAGTCAGAAGCCAAACAGCAGGCAGCATTTTGAAGAAGCCAGGGACAGCCAGTAACACAGCCACCAGTATCACTGTTTCGAGCTGTTTACAAACAGGATCCTCAAATCAGCAAGGTGCACCTTCTCCAGCCTTCTCCAGAGCTGCTTTCTCTGGTTTCACAGTGACAGGGCAACCAGGACTCTTGGCTGTGCTTAATCCTGAGAGCTTTTTATGCTTGTGATCTCACTGTCTGCTGCTTTATCCCCGCAGGCCTCCCAACCTGGACATTAACCATGTCATGGGTTTGTCTGACTTGAAGAAAAAGCTACCAGAAGCTGCATTTGGGAAAAGAAATTACATTGAGAATGAAGGTGAGTGCAAAACCCGCCGGCATGATGAGTAACGTATGCTTGTGCTGTGCCGTAGGAATTGCTGCGGGGGGTCAGATCTCAGGTCCACGTATCACTGGGTCCTGTCTTGAAGGGTGGCTGATTGCAGATAAGCGAGGAAAAATGCCGGGGCAGCACGGGGATGTTTTCCTGTCCACGCTTCACATGGTGCCCTGGTGTGATATAATCCTCTTCCCAAAGCAGTCCTTTAATCAGCCCATTCCTGGGACAGGACAGAGTGGGACACGCTGTTTTGAGACCTGGGCTTCCATCCTGCAAGGTGCCAGATGTGGTGCAACTGAGAGCAAGTGCAGGGAGAAAAACTTTCTCCTTCTTACATGATCTCCGTACGCAGTGAGGGACACTCCAGCTCTTGGGGTCTGCTCCAGGGTCTCCTGCATCTGGGCAGATGGGGGAAGCTGCCAGCCAAAGCCAAAAGATGTGGCTGCCTGCAGTAGCTTTGGCTCACAGGTAACCTACTTGTCACTTCAAGAGGACTGACAGTGAATGGCAGCATGAGAGAGGAGAGGACTCCAGAAAGCTTGGGGAGGAGAGGCAGGGAACGCTCAGCAATCAGCAAATAAAAGCACAGATTTGGGGAAGGGAGAGAAAGGCTCTACCGTCCCCTTAGTGGTGCTAAGAGACCCTGCTTGGCTATAGTCAACCTCTCTGTCCTGGTCAGTGCAGGCTGGGGACCTGTGTCTAATTACACTTTGGGGTTCATACTGCTGATTGATTTTTGGGTTGGAGTTTTGACGAGCCTGGCAGCTCTCAGCCCCAAGGTGTTGAGCTCCCGATGGCTGTGAGTGAGCGTGCATTGCAGCAGACACACAGTTACTGGCACGGATACCACAGGCTGCACGTGGAGAGCTCTGAATGTGATTTGCAGAAGCTCCAGGTGCTTTTCCATGTCATCTTACACCAGAATAAGTGTGGGCTGCTGCAGCGTTCCCTCCCATCCGTGTATCAGCTCAGCTGAGCCAGGTTGGGGCACTGATTGGACTGGCTGACAGCCAGCCTGTTTTGGGGGGTTAGCATTCAGCTCGCAGTGCAGATGGGCAGAGGATAGCGCTAGGGCAGGGGAGGAGGCTGGAGAAGTTGGGGAGGCCACAATAACACCTGATGAAGGTGCTGTGGAGCCACAGTCTTACGGTCTCCTGATGAAAGGGAGGAAATACCGAACAGAAGAATTTTGCTGTGAAATTCAGGGGGTAGGGCGGGTCCGAGATCTTATCTTGTCTTTGTTAAACTCCCTTGGGGATCAGAGTGCAAAATAAGGATGCTCTGTAGCAGAGGAGAGTATGGCGTGTTAGAATGAGGTATTTCCCTCGAAAGGCTCCCTGTCTCTGTGGAAGCACACAGCATTGCTTAAATTGCTTTTCTTAGCTGCAGAGATTAATTAGGAAACATCTCCCGTGAACTGTGGGTTGAAGAGGAAACTCGCTGTGATGTGAATCCATATACCGCTTTAGGAAATCTTGATAAGTTTTGGGTTGTTTTTTTTTAAACCCTGTGCTTCCACCAATTGCACGTCCATCTTCCTGCTACAGGAACACTTGTTTGTTCAGAATTCATGCAAGAGGCACTATTTCAACATCAAATTCTCTCTCTTTTGTCTGCAGTCTGCTTTCAGGGTGTTTACTTCAGTCTGTATGAAGTAGAAATATCAAACAAGGATCAATACAAAATGGATCAGTTAGTAAAAAATCTGAAGGAAAAGGACTTGGTAAGTATTTTAGAACATTGTTATTCTGGGAGGAAAGTTGCCTTTTAAATTCTCTCTTGAAACTTTTGGTGACATTAAACAGATTCTGAACTAATGCAAAATCGAATTAATTTCCCTGCTTGAGTTATTATTTTCCTGCTTGGTTATTCTCAAACATAGTTTAGTCTTTCTGTATATAAACTGTTAACTGAAGATTACCCACTATGATTTGACAGCTGATGTCTAGGGTGAACATGCCCTGCTGAGCAGAATGCATTATACCAGGCAGACTTCTTCTTTAGCTATGTTTATGCCAGATGAGATTATTTTATTGTCTTTATTAATGATTTTTTGCCCTTGCATTGCAAACAGCATGGTGGACAAGGACTGCAAGGGGATCTTATATAGTAAGAAAGCAGAAACAACGTCCCCCAATGCCAAAATAATTACTAAGCAAAAGACATAAGCTGTCGCATGCCTGTCTTTCTCCTGTGTGGCAGAAAAATAGCCCCCACTCAGCTAGATACTCACAGTTACACTGCTGAGACCTCCTGGGCTTCCAGGAGCTCTGAAGAGTTTCTGAATTCCCCTTGTGATCTGTTATCTGATAAGGCTTTTTTTCAAGCACAGTGTGGTCTTTTTGTTCCCAATGTGATTGTCACGTCTCCTTGTGACTCGCAAGGGATAAACCTCACCCCTGTGGAGCGCAGCACCTGCGTCTCTGCTGGGATTTGTGGTTGGGTTTGGTTTGGCTTTGTTGCTGCTGGTTGCTCTCTCACATCTGATGCTTCCTGTAGATTTGGGGTTGTAAATTCACAGCTGCAAACTGACAGCTGGCTGGTCACATCTTCCCCTCACTAGAAGTTGGCAGCAGCCCATGAACTGCCAGGAATTGCTGTTGCTGTGCGGCACTGCTGAAGAGCTGCCCACCGATGTGCAGCTTCCCACATGGAACGTACCAGAGGAAGTATTTGTTGTGGATCCCTGTCAGAAAAGCACTCAGACTCCCCAGAGTGTTGATTAAGCTATCTTTTATTGGTAGCAACATGAGAAGATAAAAAGGGGATAGCAAAGACAATGTCCCTTCACACGCAGGGAATCCTGAACTGTGCAGCAACAGCTGGACCTCAGATCTGTCCATGCTGTGGCTCATCTTGAAGTTCCCAACATCTGAAGGAACATAAGCTTATCTATGCTATCTCTTTTTTTTTCTTCTCTTGTTCTCATCAGTAAAAGATATTTTAATCAATACTTTACAGAGTCCAAGTGCCTTTCTTGCTGGGATCCATGTCAGCCGCTTGTTCCAGTGCATTACAGCACGTCTGCAGCCACTGAGGGTTATAATGTACATCCTGCCAAGCCCAGCAGACCTGGGCTCTCTAGAGCAGTCAGGGAAGATGAGATAGCCATGAGCAGTTTGGTATTGAAAACCAGCAGGAGCCTCGTTTCCCAAGAGCTTCCTCGTCCCCGTATATCTGTCAAACTGGATTGAAATATCTCCCCTATTTCAATGAGGAAACAGCCCATTTTGGGTGTGCTTCTTCCTTCCCCTTAGCATGCTGTTGAATGGCGCGTGGGTGAATCTGCTTTGCTGGCAGCTCCCAAAAGTGCAAATGAAAAATGCCCTCAGCCTCCTTGGTACCCACCTTGCGCAGTGCCCGAGTGAAAATGAAAGGGTGGCTGGGGCTAAGTGGGGTTGCCTGAGGCCAGCTGCTCTCTCTGGGTGATGTCTCAGCTCCGTGTCAGGTGGCTGTTGCCTTATGGCTTAACTTTCTTCCTCATCTGCTTGAAAATCGTCCTGTCGGTGAGAAACAACAGTTATTGAGCTGGATTTGTGCAGCAGAGATGCTGGTTCTTATCCCTTCTCCTCTGCTGGCTTGAGACAACCAAAGTAAGGAGCTACTGTTCTGAATAGTGAATATTACACTGAAATTGTTCAGCATTTCCAAAGTTGTTCTGTTGTCCTGGAGAAATGAGGCTGCGGGCATTAGTCCAATCCTCTGTTATGTCTGAACATATTGAATGGGATCAGCAAAGTTTCCTCAGAGCATCGGAAGCCCTAGGGTTATTCAGTTCCTGTAAGTTTCCTGAAAAGATGTGTCTGCGTAGAAGAAAGATCCAAATAGGTGTCCCCACGGAGGGAAAGGCAGTCCAAGCCAAGCTCTGCAATGAGGCATCAACCAACACCCAAACACAAGAAAAGCCTCAATAAGTGTACATATTTTTTCAGACATGTGGTCATCCAGCTCTGAGACGGAGTCTCTAGGCATTGCTTAGACTCAGCAAATTTTTTTTCACATAATCATTGATACTGATGCTGCTGATACGCAAGCTGCATGACCTGAACTTCAGTCAGGCTTGTGGCTGGAACCGTTGATTGTATTTTGTCAGATGCTGGTGTCCAGCTTTGCTTTCCCTGCTGGGAAAACCTTCCCCTTGGGTTTCTGTGAGCAGTTCCTGGCTGAGATGCCCAGGAACTTTCGAATTTGACTAAAATTATTAACCTTGTTCATTAGTTGCAGTCGGTTTGGCTAAGCATATTTAATTTTTAAGTCACAGATGGGAGGAATTTGAGAGCTGAATAATAACATAAACAGAATGCTTTGGGTTAGACGTCCCAGTTGACCAAGGGACATGGACCTGAACAGTGTCCTCCTCGACTGGGAATGAACTGGTGGTGTTGGCACATCTTCACTGGCAATCAGGGCTTGTTGACAGTCGTGCTGGGTGCTATAAAGTGTGCTAAGGAGGAAAGGGAGTGGTTGCTCTAACTTTGTTTGTTATAGGCAATCATCAAATATTTAGAAGATCAAGGAGTCCTTATCCTCCTCACGTCCTCTGCCTTGGCGCAAGATGATGGTAAGACATGGCTACTTAGAAATCACTATCTGTGCTTAAACATCCTGCTCTGGTTTAGAGGCAGAGGGTGGGCACCCGCAGTCTCAACAAAACCTGTTGCTTTCTTTCATAGGGTTTGACCCCAAGGAGCCCGTCAGCCTCCTGGCCCTGTTTCTGTTCACCTCATCCCGGTCGGTGTGCCCCCGAGGTAGGGAGATTCCCTTTGCTGCCTTTAGACACTGTGGTTCAGGTGTGGGATCCTCACCAGAGGGTCCTCAAAGACACATTCCTCTTGAAGTTCTGATTTCTCTGCTCAGAACCACCTACAGCTTTAGCACAAGGGGTGTTAAAAGAGGAGAGAAAAGTCTCAACTCTAGCTATGCTGCATTTTAAGCTGATCTAAACCAGGTTCCCTGCCTCGCCCATTCACTGCGTATCCTTGCCCCTTTGCAGGAAGATGATGGGAGTGAAAAATAATTACTTTTTCTCCCTCTCAGTCAATTTTCAGCAGCATCTGCTCCCTCAACTGTCTTATGCGTGCATGTGGGAGTCTGACTCCTCCAGAGCTTGGCTTACATCCCTAAAGGTGCGCTGGAGCTGTGCTCAGGGGGCAGAACAACACATGGCACTCGCTGGACCCTGCTCGGAGCTGATGTGATTTGCTAAACCAGCAGGAAAAGAACCTGCCCTAAAAAATAAATGAATTGTTTTCTGCTGAGATAACAAGTGAAATGAGCTCCGTGAAAGGTCACTGCTGGTGTGGGGAGGGAGAGGAGAGGTGCGGAAGGGGCATTGCTCCCTAAAGAGCAGCGAGGGTTTGGACGCTCAGCTGTATTGTTTGACTTCTCTGCCGTGGGATCTGTAAATGTCGGCAGCGAGGCCGTGACGACCGGTCAGGGTGTGTGACGGTGAGAGAGGGAGGCAGGGAGATGGTGTTGGGCAGAGCCATGGTGCTCTGCTGCCATCAAGGTGAGTCACAGTTCGGGGACCTGGGAGGTGAATCCAGGCAGTTTGCAGCCCCAAAACGCGCTGCTTTTCATGCAGAACAAACACAGAGGCATTAAATAAGAGAAAATAAAGGTTGCACAGTTTGAATCTGCAGATCTTGAAATAAGAACGAGCTTCAACATCTGTTGCATTTGCCCTAAATTTTCTTTGTATCTGTTGGCTTTATACTGCATTGTCTATGTGGAAACATTCACACTACAGTTTCCTCTTGTGGACATAAAGTTACTGCTCTGCCTCCCCTGGACAGCTTCATCCACACACCTCTCTCTGCATCCACTCCACCAGTAACGCTTCTAGCCTTGCAGATCCCCGAGCAACATATAAACAGGGGCTTTTTTGCTCTGCGTAACTTCTGGCTTGCTTTTTGTCGAGTCATCCCACGGACGAGCCAGGAGACTGTTTATGCCAGCGCACACTGGTATTTCAGTCCGCCTCTGTGTGAGTGATGGCTAGCGTTGCCGACAGAGCCACACAGCACATACCCATCTCCCCTCCCCGGAAGATAAAACAGAAGAGCTGACAGGACCCAGCGGCACATCTGAGCATGGATTGCTGTGTCTTTTTCAGTGTTTAACCTCCAACTATAAACTTTCTCCTTCAGGATCCGCATACGAAGTGGGCTTGTAAGTCGGGTGAAGACATGATGGTAACTTGGCAATGCGGGGTGCAAATGTCTTTGATGCTTGAATTCAGTCAGCCTAACTTTAAGGAGGTGCTGCTGGTGGCTGTGTTAGCATGGCAACTTTTCTAATTTCTTTTCTAGGCATAGGAGAGAGGCAGGCTCCTCCTGAGGCAGACTGAAGATCCAGAGTGCCAGGTCAAACCTGGAATCAGGTTGTTGCTGTGATGCCTGAAGCAGGGGCCTGAGGTTGGGTGAGGTGAAGGGGAAGAATGCCTGGAGAGCAGACTGGAGGTGGGAACTGGCCACCCAGATATTGAGATCTTGCTGACCAGCCCCGCAACAGGCAGAAAATACCCTCCGCAGCAGAGGGATCTATTCCTGAAAGGCTGACTGCGAGCACTGTGTGCTGGGGGAGAGAAGAGGGCAAGGAGGTATTTATCTCAAGGAAGGTTATTGTGGAAGGTGGTGGTGGAGACAGGAGAGGGCACCAGGCGTAAGGAGCATCCCAGAGCATCGATGGTGCACGCAGCTGGTTGGTAGGAGGAGGCAAAGCCTGGGCAGCCAGAGAGCAGCTGGTGGCAAAGTGAAGAGGCAGAGGGAGAGGATAACATTGAGCAAACACTCCACGTTGTTACGTGTCATGATCTGGACGTTTATGGCTTCCAGATGTTTTCCCTCTGGTGCCAGCAGGACTCCTGAACGTGCTGTCCCGTTCTGCCTACGCGAGCGGAATTACCCCAGCCAGTCCTGGCTGTCCCCTGGGTCTGACATCTCTTTTCACTGGCGTTATAAACCCGTTTTCCTTTAGGCCTTCTCCTTTCTATGAAGGTAAGCAGAACTGTGCAAGGATTTAGGGTTGAAAAGGGATGGTCATTGAAGATGGCAGAAGTGCAGGGGAGATGCGAAGAGAAAAGGAAGGTGAAGGACGGACGCATTTGAAGTCACTCAGCTCAGACTTGCATGAATAATGTTTCCCATTTTGAAACAAGCGGCCTCTGAAGCTGTTCCCTTCCTGTCCAGACAGCCGTCGGGAGGAATGTAGGGCTGGCGTAACAAGCCTGCTGTGCAGACGCGCCGCAGCGTTCCTGAGCCAGCAGTGAAGGCAGGCAGCTGGGAGCCTGCCCATGGGGATGCCTGGGTTTTTTGGTAGGAAGGACCGGCATTGCCAGTGCAAGGCAGCAGCAGGGCCAATAGGCGAAGAAAATCACACGTCTGGGAGGGGAAGAGAAAGGCCTTTGCCCTGCTGGGAAGAGATGTGATGGAGAAGGGTGTTGGGGTTGTCACCCTGGCCCTGCAGCCAAAAGAAACGTCGGAGTTGGATCATAACACGCAGATGGGCCAAGCCTGCGGGTGCAAAGTGCCAACATCAGACCGCTGGGTTGCAGCAGATGAAGCCAGATAAGTCTGGCTTGTGCAGAAACGGAGCTGTACCGACAGCGTCTGCATATCACACCAGCTCTCCAGGAGTTTCCAGATACTGAGAGGACGCTACTATGCCAAGCAAAGCCTACTGCACGGTGACATCTGTGAGGGCAAGCACCCTCGAGCTTTGGGAATCGTTCATGTTGATCCGTATCAGGAGCTAAACCTTTATGATACGTTGCTGTATGTCATAGGGTGTCAGTCTTGCTAAAATGAGAAACACCAACTATTTTCAGTAAAATCAGTCCTCCAGCTTTAAAAAAATCACCCAGGGGTTCATGTTATTTATTTATACGGTCCCCAGATCTGCTTGGGGAAGTCTGTGTTCCCCATCCCACTCCAGAGCGCTAACGTGGTGTCCTCGTGTGAAGTGCGTCCACTCACGCTGAGCAGGTAGAGATGGAGCTGCTGGAAGTTGCATCTGAACAGGGACATAAACAACACAGGTGATCTGCAAATGGTGCTAGTCTAAACACCCTGCATGGGCAACCCTAAATTTAAACAAGTTTTAAAAAACCCAACAAAACCCATGTATTTTCCGAGCTCTGACTGTCCTAAATGTTGGATGTCACGAGAATTGCTGAAGTGAAGGGACTTAGAGCACTATGTGTGCGATCTCACCCTGTAATTTCCTGCAGAATGGGACTAGCTGATAGAACAGCAGTCTTTCATCTTAGTTGAATCCACTTTTGACTGCCACATGCAATTATTTTTTACCTTCAGCAGTTACAAGCATCCATCAAAACAGGACATCGCCACTGGAGCTAACTTTCTTTAGGTTGGCTTCTGGGGCTTTTTCATAGCTTTCACGTTCTCTTAGCATGGAAAAGTGAGGTGATTTGGGGAATTTAATCCTTTTTTAATCCAAATAAAATTCTGTTCTTTTCCTTTTGCAGTTGAAAAGCACGATCCAAAAGGTGAAAGGGAAGATAGTGACGGTAGTGACATGTCATTAAAAATAGCCTCAGTTTTGCCTGGACTTCGCTATGCCTTACAGAAAGCCACCAGTTCTTCATGGGGGGACACAGTCAGTACCAGCGTACGTATCAAACAGCACTTCCAGGAATACCCAAAGCTTGATCAAAATACACAGCCCACCTCTGGCCAAAACAGCGAAGTTCCCCTTTCTTCTTCTCTCCTTTCACCCGTCGAGGATGAATGTATTCATCCCTTTCAAAACCGTTCAGAGCAGTCCTTCTCCCAGCTGCAGCATTATTTCTCTGATCCCAGCAGCTATACTCTGGAAATGTCGGCTGCCTTAGGATGTTTGACTGGTGCTGTTCAGTCTCTTTGCTGCGGTTCAGAGGCGGATTGTAAAGTGAATTTCTCGTCAGCTGTGCCACCGGACCCTATTCCTCCCAACACAGCACTGGAAAGAAAAGTCAAAAGTGAAAACCTAAAGCCTGCAGTGGGACTGGACCAGAGTGGTGAAGAGTCCAAAAAAGATGTCAACTCAACCAGCAAGGTGCGGGTGCAGCAAAGCAGGAGGAAATCCAGCCGAGCAGTTGTGACGAGCACCAGGAAGAAATGGTCACCCCTCAAGATGCAAATGCATCCTATGGGCGACAGCAGCAGGAAAGCAACCAAGAAGAAGAAAATCAACATCGCTTTCTCTTTTCCTAAAAAACAAGGGCTCACAGCCAATTCCAATGAGCCCATGCTTAAATTAGCCAATTTGCAGTTTCCGCACAGAAGGAAAAGAGGTAAGTGCTATATGAATGGGACTGACTTCCTCCTGCTTCTCCAAGGTATCCAGCTGGGATGCTCAGGGTTCACTAGGAGCCATGTCCCCCACCATCCTGGGCAGCCCAGAGCAAGCAGACACCTCCTGAGAGCTTCCAAATAGGTCTGTGGCAATGTCTCCACAGTCTCTCGTTCCACTTGGGAAGGAGCCCAGGGCTATGACAGGGGATTTCACTGAAGGTGCCCGAAGCCCGGTGGAGTGGTCCATGCTGTTGCCTTCCTTTGCTTACAGGTGACTGTGAACAGGGAAATCAGCCAGGTCATGGTTATTGCATCCTTTGTTCATGGGCTGTCGGTGGCTCAGGCAAGGAGCAATTGCCAAAGCCACGGTTGTCTACAGGCTGTGTAGATAACCAGCCACCCTACGTGTCACGTTGTGACTCTCCAAGCGCCAACTTTCCTTGAGGAAACTAGAAGCGTGAGATTGATCCCACCCAACTTACTCTGCTGAAAGTTGGTATCTGGCCTGAGCTGCTCATGCAAGGTGTCTCAATGGCATAAATTGCCCTCTGAAGGCTCCTGTCTCGCTGCCGAGGATAGGCTAAGCCTGTCCTTTTGAGCCAGCCTGAGCCTCCACCTGATTTGTAGAGATACTCAGAGTGGGTTGAGATGGATCCCAGCCTTGGTGATGAAACATGGCTGAAAACATCCAAAGGATCCACCTGCCTGCAAAGGGAGTGTCGTACTTGGCAACCTCCCCTGGCTTTTATGTACATCACAGGTAGCGGCAGCGACTGTGGAAATGGGCTGTCGTGCAGCACAGGGGGGTGGCATGGCGTCTGCCCGCTGCGGGCTGAAGTCAGCTCTGATTCACAGTCCATCGAGCTCTGTTCTGGGGCACGTTCCCTCGGGCCTGGGTGGCATTGCTGATAGATCTGGGAGAGGTTCTTGTGAGCTTCTTGGAGAAGTAAATAAGTAGCTTCAGGGTGCAAGTGTGCCAGGCAGGCATTGGAGTGACTTAGCTGTGAAAAACAGCTATTCTAGGTCAGGAAAGCAGGCTTTTAATGAGCTTAAGAAGTGATGCTTAATTTTTAATAACTGCTTACTGATCACTCACATCAGTAACAAACTCATTGGTAAGATCAGATGCATAAATCAAGTCATTGAAGACTACTCTGCTGCTGCTAATCACTTCTAGAACACTCCTTCCACTTCCCTTAACCTGGTATTTTGCAGTTACTCCTTTTTGATTTGAATATGTCTCAAACCAAAAGAAATGCCCTCCCTTTTCCTTGTCCCAGGTGCAGAGGTCCTGTCTGCAGAATTTGTACATAAAACACAGTCTGAACCTGTTTGGAAGGAAACCTCAGCTCCCAATGATCCTGGCTTGGAAACAAAGAGACCAAAGACACTGAAGAACACAGACGTGGAAAAGGTTCCTGTTGCTGAGACCGTCACGAAACCAGTGAAAATGCTAAAAAGTGTGGCTAACAGCCCATCGAAACCTCAAGCCAAAAAGCAAGCAGAAAGTGGTAAGAGTGCTGTTCCCTGTGGAAATCTTTCCTTTAAAAGCTGAGCCATCAAACAGCACAGTCAGGTCACAACCAGACGGTAGTACAGCACGTTCGGCAGCAGCCAAAGGGCCTCACAACATTTAGTGCTGAGGGTCTGGGTTGGGATCTGGGTACCGCTGCCCCACAGCCTGCAGGCTCCCAGTTACGCACTCATAGTGTGAAATACAAAGGCGATTGTGAAAATCGCCGTTACAGGATGTCCAAACCACACAGGGTCTCTTCTGAGTCCTTTCCTAAGCCCTCGGTTTGCATCCTTGGCAAACTGCTAGGATAGTTTAAAAAGCCTGATTTTTAACTGCTGAGCTCTGAAACTGTGTTGAGGCAGCTCATGGACGGACCGTTACAACCTCTGCTCGTAGCCAGCGTCTGCCCAGATATTTAGTCTGTTACGTTGTAAATCCGATTGTTTTAAAATTGTCGCAGCCTTCGCAGACAGACTGCAGCAGGTTTAAGAGGCAGCGTGGACAGCCCCGAGTGTAGCGTCTGCAGGTGCTGGCTGAGAGTCTGCTGTTAAACTGAGAACGAGTATTACGCTGCCAAAATAAATGATGGAACAGAAGAGTCATTTTCTGTTAATTTGTCGTGTTTTCTCACACTCGTGCTTTGATGTCCTTTTCGGGATCTGTCTCTGGTCTTTCTTTTTCCTCTTCCTGGGGGAGGTGGAGGCTTTGGAGACTGCTTTAGCCACCTCGGCTCAGTTTAGCCATTCTTCTTGGGCTTTTATTGCCACGTGTTCCTGAAACGTGGCACTTTTCATCAGCGTGTGTGTATCAAACACCGCCCTTCACCTCTAGGAACCCTCCCGTCACGTGGGCGTTCCTAGAGCCGATCCGGCCGGTGCTGTCACACAGGCAGGGTGTCAGATGGGTACTGCTGAATGCCAAGATCTGCCAAAAATGCTAAATAAGAGTGTTTAGAAGTAAGAAATACTCAATTTATATGTCTTACTATGCCATTCCCAAGGAAATTAAATGTAACATGTAGGACTTTAGCACAGATGTAATTTAATAAGGTTTTACTTGAAGAGAGATTTTTGTGCTGGTTTTCAGTAGAAGGCATTAACCTCATTTAATGACTTCATACTGTTTTTACAAACATGGGCCTCGAGCCATGGTGAGGGGCATTTTGAACACTGCAGACTAAATGAACACCTAATTTGCTGGGCTCTGACTGCCTTTGGGAGGCCCCAGGTTTCTGCGTGTGCTCTGAAGTACAGCTCAGGGGCAGGTTGTGCTCGTGAGAGGGTGTGAAGTGGGAAGCGTGAGGGCCGGGTGGTTTTTCTCTGTGTTTTAGAGTTGGATTTTTTGGTAACTGGATTATTGAAAGCATAGCACAGAGTTTGTCTGAGAAAATTGCAATTACTCAAAGTGGAAGAAAATATAAAGGAAAAAAAAAATATTAAGAAAACACTTAAAATATCTCAGGTTGTATTTAAGTGGACAAATTACCCTGTGCATGGAGGCCAAGAGAAATTTTGTTCGTTTTGGATCCTGTGCCTTTTATTTCTGAGAATAAACCCCCTTCCTGATGGTGCTTGGATCCCACCTCTGGATCCTTTTGTAGCAGCCATAGAGGTGGTTTTGTAGCATGATCACAGAGGTGGGGGTTTTTTAAGTGTACAAATTCCATGTTGGAGAGACACTTTTTTCCTGCCAAACGGAAAGCCTGCTCTGAACCCCTTCTTGAGGCAGAGCTCTGTGGCCTTCGCTTATTCTCTGACTTTTCTCACGCAGAGTGGAAGGAGCCATTCTCTGTCCTCCCGAGCGAAGTTTCTTTCCAGTGCCACGGAGCGGATAGCCAAACGAGTGAGATGTACCCAGGCGGGGTTGCTGATCTCAGTTTAGATCTGAAGGAGAATGACTACGAGTCCCACGCCTTGAACTTGCTGGCTGATCTGGCTCTGGGATCTTGTATTCCTTCGTTTATACCCAAGGACAGCGGGATGGTCGCTGTGTCCTGCAGCCCCTCCAGCGACTCTGCAAAGGAGCAGCAGAATTATCACAAGCATAAATCCTTACGTGTTGCTTCTGACCATGAATACCACAGGGTAGACAAGCTTGCAAAGGGAGCCACCTCTCCTAGCAGAGCATCACCGAACCAGAATTTTTCTGCTGAAAAAATAGACTTAAATGACTTGGCCTCTATTCCCAGGGAGAAAAGCCCTGGGATTTTTAGCAAGAAGAACAGTGTGAGCCCTAGCCCTGCAAAACCCCACGTGTTGCCTCTGAGAGAGACTCAAGAAGCTGCCGAGGTGAACAAGCACTCCTTCATTTCCGCTGAGCACTCATATGCCTCGCAGATGCCTGAGCACTCAAAGAAACACATGTATCCCAGAGGTGCCCCCTACCCTGGACCAGCACCCTCCAGAAACGGGACCAGGA